ATTTCTACAGGACAGACGCATGCGGTGCCATATTTATATGACAGTGGCGATGCCCCTGCTGTAACTGAACCAGCTACAGCAAAAAAAAAAGCAGCGAGCCAATCAACTCTGTGAAAGCCGATGACAAACACAAATGTATAGCTCATGACAAAGAGGTGACGCAGGCACGAAGGAAGAAAAGATAAAGGCCGAAGTCATGGATGTTAACAACAAATGTTTCCGGTTGGCCGTATTTCAGTAGGAGATTGGTGATTTTTTTTCCTTACATACATTTAATAAAAAAAGAGGGATATTATTATTGGCCAAGCACGGAATTCCCGGCGCAGCACTTGTTACTGAAATATTCAAGCGAAAAATTTCCGAAACTTTCGTTCATTCTGACAACGACTAATTCTACATTTCTTTTTGCGTTATACTTCATATCCTCTTGTTCTCCTTGGCTTGTGTATTAATACCAATCATTATGAAGGGAAAGTGGTGGAAAGAACTTTAAGGCTTTGTTTTTGGTATATTTGCCTTTCTGGCTGTCGGCATAACCTGACCGTGTGAACAGTTGCCATAGATGTATTAGGGCTGCCTTTCAGGCGTTTTGAAAGCAAAGCAACCGCTTCGTCACCAAAGAAGAAAAAGTCGACGTGATTGAGGTGTGGATCTACAGGCCCACCTAAATTTTTAGGTCTACCATTCCCACCGTATATTATATATGGTCATTCAGACATTAGATAGATACTGTACATAAAGTTAAATGATGTCTCATTGAAGCACAAGTGAAGATTTCAACACGATAGGACAAATGCTTATACCAGTACTATGAAAAGAATAGAAAAAAAAACATATGAGTGTATCTGGAGTCACCCGCACCGCAGCGTCTGGAGAAAAAACCGCGATCATCCGAAAACCCCACTGTCTGACGTCATTTGTACCGCCAACTAGTAATGCTTCGGGCTCCGGTGCGGACATTACTGCTGCGAACGCGAAGATTTACCGAAGCCGTGGCATTTTGAAAAAATAAATGAAGCTTGACATCTTGTATCATGACATCTTGCGAAAAAAACGCTGCATATCCACGAAGTGAGTGATGATGAGTGCGCGAAGCAGTGCGACCATTCCGTGTTACCGTAAATTACCCGTGACATTGCCCACTCGTGCATTTAAATGAGTGCCAGGCGGTGTATAGTTATAAACAATGCCTATTGGTCTTAGCTGCTTTGTTGTGTTTTGTGACTTTCGTAGTGCCTTCGTTATTACTGCTTTATGGTGTCGTATCTAGCGTGCAGTCTGCAAAAACAATGTCTGCGCATGTTCCAATGGTGGTTGTTTGTTGTTTCTAGTCACACGAAATGTATCGCAGAGCATATCGAGACATCATATTCTGCACAACCCAGTCATTGTCCATGATCATCGTTGTCTTAATCTTCTTCTTCATCGTTATCACAATACCTGCGTACGTGAACGCCTCCAAAGGACAAGGCTGGACTTTACAGAGATTCACTCTTGAAAAACTGCAAGCATCAGTTAAAAAAAACGTTTTATGCTCTCTGTTGCCCTCACGACTACGCAGAAATTCCGTAAGAGGCGCATTCATTGTCGGTCTCCGTACAACACCCTCTGGGACTATCATCGCAGGGTCATTCGTGGGCCTCATCAAAGTAGTTAGCGATGAGTTTTCTTTAGTGTGAACGCACATCGTGGTCGATGGAGGCTCCCACAGCGCCGTTGTGGAGCAGGGTGGAAAGAGGCTACGCCATATTTAAGTGATCCGAATGATAGCGTCTGGACCTGAGCATTGATGTCAGAAATGGGTGGTTCCTTCACGCTCAAAGTCATATCGGAAGTCGACCTTCCAGCGGTGACCTTGGTAAGAAGAAGCGGTATCAACAAGCTCATTGCCTGCTTTTATGTTTTGTTCGTTTCGTGTTCCTCTTTCACGTTGGGTCATGGGGTCTTGGCTGAGCCTCCGCGATACCTCTTATGCTGATATCGATACAACTTCCTAGTTAGGCGATGCTTCGATAAGTGTGCAGTGAAATTAAAGAAAAGCTCGTGTGCTGTGGCTCCACTAATCTACTAGTTGCTAAAGAGTACAGAGTGATAAAAAGAATCGAACAAATTCACGAAGATGTCTGCTGGTTCTATGTTAAATTTCACGAAATAATATACGCATGATTGGAAGATATATGTTTTTGTATACCTACTGAAGAGGGTGACAAAACAATATATAGGATATTTAGTAACTCTTTTATAGTTGTTTCACTAACCAAATCAATTGCTTGCTTCAAATATGTCATAACGGTACTGTCATTTCTTCGTTGGAGCATTTTGTGAAGTGCTACTATGGTGCTATGATACTTGAGCAGATTCTTCAAATAGGTACATTCCAGCATAGAGAGAATATTGCGTGTTTCAATATAGCTTCACCAAACGATTACAACCAATATGTAATAATCATTGGTGTTATTTTACGCACAAAAATTGCAAATTATTAGGAGATACGCCGTGGAAAGTGTGCTGAGCATTTCGACCATCACGGTTCTCTAACACATGCTGTCGTCACACAGTACACAGGCTACCAGAATGTCACCCCCATCGAAAGGTGACTACCGTGGCAGAGATCGAACCCGCAACTTCTGGGTTAACAGCCACGCACCATGACCATTGGTACGCCACCGAATTCAACATGTTAATAAGTGTAAGTGTGCTGCTATGCTTTATTCAGCATTTCATAAGAATTGCTTTTACTTAATGTAGCATTACGGCATGGGTGCTGTTCTGTTCTAACTGTTTTGCTGTGGAGTGGCTAAGGTTCATATTCATAACCGCATCTTTACTTGAAGCCGCACGTGCAAATCTGAAAACCTGCCACCATAGGCTATGGTCAAAGGCTACTAAGACGGAGGACTCGCGTTGTATTTGTGGCCACGTCGACAATATGTGTTTGGATCTGGATAGCGAAAACATCCATGCATTGTAAATATGGTAAACGTTAAAAATACTGGGGCACTCAACTATACTTCCAAGTCTACAGCTACAACATACATCAGAATTACCTCGTTCTTGTGGCACGTGAAACAGCATGCCTTGAATATATATATACATATATATATATATATATATATATATATATATATATATATATATATATATATATATATATATATATATATATATATATATATATGTGTGTGTGTGTGTGTGTGTGTGTGTGTGTGTGTGTGTGTGTGTGTGTGTGTGTGTGGTGGGGTGAAATTCAATGGATCCGGTGAAAAACGCGGTAGAGAGGTCGACAGACGTGCGAAAACACAAGTTTTACTAACGTTTCGGCAGGTGGGCCTCCCTTCCTCGGAGTGAATGGTTACAGATGGCACACAGGGCGCATAATATATAAGCCGTTTCTTTGCGTATCACACGGCTAAGTCATTATCAGTAGTTTCATTATCAGTAGTCATTATCAGTAACAGCGCAGAAGTATGAGCCTCAATATACAGCGCCAGTTGTAGTGCTGACGAGTGGCTAAGAGCAACACCGTTTGTTAGAAGGCGAAGCTCTTGAAGCTATGAGTCTGTCCATCCTAGCTGTTACGTGACCACCTAGTTTGATGACCCACTCAGCAGGTGCGGGCGGATGGATACATGGACAGACAGACGGACAAACAAAGAGACAGACCAGCAGACAGAACGGAAGATTTACGGCCTATCGATAAAATTCTTCAAACCCTCTCCTCCCTCATCATCATTCATTCCGTGCATGGGTATTCCGTGACTTTTTCAACCACACCTTGGCACACCTTTATTTATGTCGTACACGCGCACACACACAAGTGAATGAAAAGATGATATTTTGCACGGTGCGTTTGTCTATAGGTCAGCCATCACTGGTGGAGGTTACTTAGACTCACTAACGATACACATTTTTCGATCAAGGCGACATTTACCTAAACAAGGCTCACTCGGACTCAGATTCACGAAGATATCTCAACTGGACATACTCTGACTCAGATTCAAGGCATTTTCTGTGTCTGACTGAGCCTGAGTAAGTGGAATTTCTGACATACGCTTCAGACTTTAGATGGTATAGGCTTCAATTCCAGGCACTGGTTGTCGTACCCGTCTTTTATTGTTATAAGCGCGAGTGGCCCATGATACGCAGTCATCCGCAGTTTTTCATGAGCAATAGCGAGGTGGGCATGCTGACATTTAGAGGGACGAGGACGTCATTTCCATAATATTTTTAGCGGTGCCCACTATCAAACGCCTTATGTCAGGCTTGAGATCATTTCCCACGTATTACTGTGTTTTCTGCTGTTATGCTAGTACATGACATTGCTTCCGATGACAACCGATGCATCAGCCTACTGGAACGAGGTAAAAGAGCGAGCATCACATGCCGTTTAGAGATCAACAAAAAAGACAGAAATTTAAAGAAAACTAGAACAAGCTTGTGTTTAGGAGGATTGTTTGACTATTTTGAGTACGAATAATGCAAATGAGTTCGACGTAAACGCGTAGGGAGGCGGCAAAATTAAGAAAGGTAAAAAAGACAACCAATCTTTTGTAGCAAAATACCAGAAAGAAACCCATGCGAATTTTTCAGAAAAAAAAAGCATTTTAGTGTCCCAAAAATTTGTTCTGCTCTGAGTTCAAAGCCGGGACGTTTCTGAGGCGAACGCTGTACCAGCTTACCACACTATGAAAATCGAGTACGATGCACTCTACTATGGAAGAGCAATAAAGTGCCCCGATACGCTTTCTCACGCAAGGTTCCTAACGCCGTGTGTTAACATAGTTTCAGCATATTCCTCGGCATTTAGAAAAAGTTAACCTTGTACTCATATATGAGAGATTAGAAATCCGTTCGTAGATGCCGCAGGGGGTTCTCTGTTGAGAAAAAGTAGTTAACAATTGTGAGAACTCATTACTCTACTTTATGGTACTGCACAAAGCCGTCCCATGGGCCTCACTCTTGATGAGGCCTTTGTTGGATCTCGTCCAGGGACTGACAAGGCCAAGGGTCCAACGGGCAAACAACAGCGTTTATTGCCGAAGCGTACGACTGGGGTTACATCACGGGACTGGAGGACAGTGCTTTGAGCGTTACCATTTAAGCACTAGTGGGCGCATGCGCACTAACGACAGTTCGGTTATCAGGTGTGCTATCGCGAACACCACACTTCCTCTGCTTTTATTCGGAAGCTAATAGTTCACGTTCCCTCTCAGAACCAATCAGGCGGTCGGCGATTTCGTAGCGGGTAGCGCCGATCCAGGTCGCCTCGAGAAGTGTCTGTCAGCAACGTCGGTGGTGAAGGCGAAACCCTAGCTGCAGGCAATGAAGGTGCTGGCTCCGGTTCGGTGTCACTCTGTGGCCACACGGAGAAACCGTCGTCTTGCGCGACGTCTTCGGCAAGCCCTGCCGTGCCTTGAAGTAGCTGGTTCTTGTGGCGCCGCCACTCGAAGCATCCTGAAGATGTCGACGCTCGTACCCTGAAAGACACTGGTCCACTTTGAGCCATCACCACAGCTGGTACCCATTTGGGCTGTCCCCTGTAATTTCGTGCAAGTACATGATCACCAACACTCACGTCACGCACACGACACTGTCGGTTCACCGTCTGTCTGAACTGATTGTAAGCCACCCTTTCCCCCACGGCGGGTTTGAGTACATCGAGGCGGGTGCGCAAACGTCGCCCCAACAACAAGTTGGCTGGTGCCTCGTGTGTCGTAGCGTGGGGCGTGTTGCGATAAGCGAGCAGAAACTTGTTGAGCTTTACCTTCATAGGTTGATGCACGTCATCCTTTTTTAGCGCGTTCTTCAGGGTCTGTACGAAACGCTCCGCAAGTCCATTGGTGCTGGGATTGTAGGGGGCTGTTTGCACGTGTCGGCAACCCATCTCCCTTACAAACTGCTTGAACTCCTCTGACGTGAACTGTGGGCCGTTATCCGACACGATTGTCTCAGGGAACCCAAAACGAGCGAAAACATCTCGTAAGCACTCAATTGTTGCATCTGCAGTAGTTGAACGCATCATAAAAACTTCGGGCCACTTCGAGTGCGCATCGACCACTATAAGAAACATTGACTGTTGAAATGGTCCTGCAAAATCTATATGTATGCGCTGCCACGGCGCTGAGGGCCAGGCCCAAGGGTGCAACGGAGCTTTGCAAGGGGCACTGCGCTGTTCTTGGCAATCTGTACATGACTGCACCATACGCTCAAGGTCCCCCTCGATGGACGGCCACCAGACGTAACTACGCGCAAGCGCCTTGCTGCGAACTATACCTGGGTGACCCTCGTGTAATTCGGCCAGAACTGCTCTCTGCAGCTTTGCGGGAATGACTACCCGCGTTCCCAGCAAAATGCATCCTCCATGCAATGTCAGTTGATTGCGTCTGGCGAAGTATTGTTTCAGTCTATGGTCATTGACAAATATTGGCCAGCCTGTGCTTATGCACTCTTTTACTTTCGCCAGATCGTTATCCTGCTCTGTGGCATGGGCAATTCCTTTGCTCGACACTGGTAGGGAGGCCAGCCGCAATGAATAGAAAGTCTCTTCCGACTCCTGCGTTTCGTCTTTCACACATGGTAGCGGCAAACGGGAGCAAAAATCGGCTTCTGCGTTATCGGCTGATTTTCTAAAAAGAAGGTCGTATCTGTATGCCGACAACGTCACAGCCCACCGCTGTAGGCGCGCAGCCGCGATAGGCGGAATACCTGTTGTTGGCCCCAAAATTTGCTGTAAGGGTTTATGATCAGTGATTAAAGTGAATGCGCGGCCATAAATATAACAGTGAAACTTTTTTATGCCAAAGATTATGGCCAGCGCCTCTTTTTCAAGCTGGCTATATTTCTTCTCTGCCTCGGAAAGCGTGCGCGAAGCAAAAGCAACTGGCCTAGACTTCCCGTCCTCAAAAACATGGGAGAGCACTGCACCTACCCCATACTGCGATGCGTCACAGGCCAGCTTTAATGGCCTATCCGGGTCGTAGTGGGCCAGCACCTGCGGCGATGACAGCATTCTTTTAACTTCGTTGAACGCGTCTCGGCAGCAGTCGTCCCAACACCAAGGAGCGTCTTTCCGTAAAAGCTGGTAAAAAGGCACAGCCATTGTTGAAAGATTAGGCACAAACTTTCCATAATAATTAACGACACCCAGGAAGGACTGCAGTTGCTGCTTGTTTGTCGGTGCGGCAGCGTTTATGACTGCTTCAATTTTCTCTGGTGACGCAGATATTCCTGCTGCAGTAATTTTGTGCCCCAGGTAACAGAGCTCATTTTGAAAGAACGCGCATTTTTCTTTCTTTATTTTGACGCCTCGCTCCAGCAACCGTTTCAAGAGTGCGTCTAGGTTTACCAGGTGTTCTTCAGCGTTTCTTCCTGTGACTAAGATGTCATCGAGATAACAACAAACTCCGTTTAGGCCCTTCAGCATTGTGTCCATTATTTTCTGAAAAATACCTGGTGCTGACGCTATTCCGAAAGGTAGCCTGTTGACTGCAAACAGCCCTTTCCGCGTGTTCAAAGTCAAGTACTTCTTCGACTCTTCTGACATGAGTACTTGTTGGTATGCCCTGTTAAGGTCGATCTTACTAAAGTGCATTCCCCCGGCCAACGCAGCTAATAGGTCATCAATTTTAGGTAGCGGGTAGTGTGTGATGTCCAGAGAGGGGTTTATCGTTGTCTTATAATCCCCACAGAGACGTATGCTTCCATCTTTTTTATCACTGGCACGGCGGGCGTGGCATATTCTGATGTATTCACGGGTGTGAGTATTCCCAGCTGCACCAATTTTTCTATCTCTGCTTCTACTGCTGACTGCAGTGCGAATGGCACATTGCGTGCCTTCAGGAACCTCGGCCGGTGATCGGCTTTGAAGAACAGCTCGGCCCTTTCGTCTGTGATAGCCCCTAGCTCATCCTTAAACAGCATTTTGTATTTTTCGAGCAACGATTCTAGCCTTTCCTTCGTTCGCGAGGACAAGTCGAACACTGACCTTGAGACGTGGTTGAGGCCCCAAATCTGGTTCCAGTTTAGCCGTACTGTGCGCAGCCATTCACGCCCTAGCAGTGGTGGTCCTGCTTGATCGACGAGGTAGAGTGGTAGTTTCGCCGTCTGTTCCCCGTGCTGCACCTTGACGACCGCCACGCCGCAAGGTTGGACGAGTGCTCCGGTATAGGTGCGCAGGACGATGTCTGTTGGTCCGCATCTGGCTGAAGGGAACTGCTGCTTGAACTGCTTGTAAGGCATGATAGACACCGCGGCTCCCGTGTCAAGTTCCATTTCCACCAGTGCTCCATCTATTTTCAGTCCAACAAAAATAGGAGTGCGGCCGGACGCCACTTGTTCCGAAACGCCTATGGGTGGCACCTGCGTGACCACTTTCAGCGTTTTCACTCTCCGTTTCTGCTGATACCCGCCACAATATTGCCCGTTGCTGCGACAGGCCCTTTGAATATGCCCTTTCTTTCCACACTTATAGCACGTATTATTAACGTGAGGGCATACTGAATGAGTGTGGCTCGGAGAACCGCAGCGATAACAAGCCGGTCGCTGCTTACCGGAAATCGCTTGCGCCTCGTACAAATCAGCAGGGTCATAATTGCATTCTCCCTCCATTTTGTGCAGCTGTGTGGCCACTGACTCTACGACTCTAGTCTCGGCAACATTCTTCCGGGCCGCTTCCATGGCCAGGGCGCGCTCGACTGCTTTCGGGAACGTCAGTTTGTCGTCCTCGGTAAAGAGTACTCGCTGCACGTCCTCTCGCAGTAGTCCACAGACAAAACGATCCCGCAGCGCTTCGTCCAAATTTGCTCCAAACTGACAACTCTGGGACAACTTCCGAAGTTCAGCAACATATTCGGGCAGAGACTCGCCTTCGTGCTGTGCTCTGCGGTAAAACTTTGCTCGTTCCCCGATTATGGACGGCTTTGGGGCAAGATGTGCATCCAAGAGGCTCTTCAGTTGCTCGAAACTTTTTCCCGATGGTAGGTCCGGTGCAGCCAACGACTTCAGCAACCCATACGTACGCGGTCCGATGATGCTGAGGAATGCGTGTACCTTGTCGCTGTCGGGAACCTTGTTGACAATCAGAAAAGAGGTCAACCTCTCCTTGTATGCCGTCCAGTCGCTTGCAGTAACGTCGAATGACTCCATCTGGCCCAGCTGCCCTCTGCTCACCATCTGGCCCAGCTGCTCACCAGACCGCATTGTCGCTTCTTCACCACACTGCTCGCTATTTTTCATCCCATCCTCGTCGCCAGTGTTGGATCTCGTCCAGGGACTGACAAGGCCAAGGGTCCAACGGGCAAACAACAGCGTTTATTGCCGAAGCGTACGACTGGGGTTACATCACGGGACTGGAGGACAGTGCTTTGAGCGTTACCATTTAAGCACTAGTGGGCGCATGCGCACTAACGACAGTTCGGTTATCAGGTGTGCTATCGCGAACACCACAGCCTTGTTAACGACAATTACAGCTGTGAGTTTTCTGAGTGGAAACAACCACTGTTCGAGAACCTTAATAAATGGATACTCGATAGATGTAGATCACGACCATCGGTGAATGTGTTTAGAAAAAGTTGCTAACAATTTAGAGTACTAGGTACTCTACCATGAAAGTGCATGAAGCCATCCGGTGGGCCTCACACTTCATGAGAACCTGTTGACAAAAATTACACCATGCAACGGGAAAACGATGGCACGTGGTACAACGGGGCATAGTTGCTAGAAAAAGTGTTTAACAATTCAGAGTACTTAGTACTCTAGTATGGGAGAGCAGATAGCTATCCAACAATAAGTACCACACAAAAGTGTTTACAAGCTGGAGAACTGTATGTGTAGAAAAGTGTTTAACTATTTAGAGTGCTCGGTACTCTACAATGTGAAAGCGTAAAGCCGTTCAGTGGACCTTACACTTCATGAGACCGCATAGGCAAAAATTTCATTGCGACCCCCTTGAGTCGGTGACAACCTAAGAATAAATATAAGCTCAACCAACGAAGCCGCCTTGCACTTATTTTTCACGCCTCCGTGGTACAAAAGAAATAGTTCTAAAACAATGGCCCTAGTTTTCCCGCATACAACTATTATCTTCTAAAACTTCATTAAATTTGAGATAAACTAACCAAAGCTTGATAAGAAAACTTGAGGAGGCTCGGAGTTCATATTCAGCATAGCAATATATATGTTTGTTAAATCGCAACCTCCACCGCACTAATCATAGAGAAGACGAAGGGGTAAAGTACATCTCTCGACGGCGAAATTTCTGCGTTGCAGCTATGGTGGTTCTAAAACAAACAATGTCACTTTTAACGTAATGATCATAAGGAAGGAACTGTTCTTTTGCGGTTTCACAAAATAAACAGGGGTATTATTCACTTTTTGTGGGATTGTTTACACTTACTGATTCTTTTTCTAAGCTCTCGCTGCCAGGTTTCTTCGCTGTCTTCCGCAACAATATCAACTATGTCTCGAAGCGAAAAATGAAGATTGACGTCGTGAACTTTGATTCTTGTGCTGCCGTAAATACTGAATGTGCGTTTCACATTGCCATGCTTGTCATCATGCTTGAGGTAAGCATCAATATATTGTTCGACGTCTTGTTTCATCGAAATGGAAGCGCGTACCTCAAGTTGCGGAGATCATTGCATACGTTGTCGTTAGGGTGTAGGCATTGTGATGTACGCAGCTAAAGTGGTGGCGACTAAAATCTATAGGCGATTTTCTTCTCGCGTCCACAACTTGCATTTTATGGTGTTGCCATGACCCCGTAATCTCTTGAATATTCAACTTTTACCAATAGGGACCTGATTTCGCTGAAACAGCGCTCACTACCTTCTATGACTGTGTCTGTGCAAGGGTCTATCTGTTCATGCAAGAGGTGTTTTCTCCAGTGAATGCGAGAGAATTGCTTGCCATACAGCTTTCACAAGGAAGCCCAATACATCCTTCATGTTTAATTTCATTAAATTATAATTTTGTGTAATGAAGTTATCACTACCTGATATATGCACGCTATACAGGTAAACCCCCCCCCCCCCCGCTTAAAAAAAAGCCTGGTAGGCAAAACTAAGACTCTTTAATAACATATCGTTAAGTATAATACAATGCCTTGAAAAGCAATTTTTTATTTTTATTTTTGACTAACAGTTTTAGCGGTGTCACTTCAGTAACAACCACGATCGATGCAACTGATCATGATTGATTGTGATCACTGCAGCAATCACGATCGATGCAGCGATATTACTTAGCGAGCGTCATTTTCGCGGTTGCATGTACCTCGCCCAGTGTTTCCCATTGAAAGTGCTTCTGCTTCGAGCGTGATACAAGCCCTTATGCAGCGAGAACTTCAACCCAGCCCCTAGTTTTGAGCCGGTGAAAATCATTTTGATTAGGATGACGCGGATGCACCAATAGACACCCGTTAAATTATTCACATGGGCACGGGATGACTGCAATAGGCTTTTAATGCATTCTACATTGCGTATTCTCCCCACCTGGTTTGGCTACTTTCGTACTTTGTCGCGCAAAAGGAGGTTTACAAACATGGCTGGAGTGTAAATCATTGCCCAGAAGTGAAGCCGTGTTTATGGCTAGACGGCGGCAGCCACGACCATCCTACTAGAGGCATGATAAAGTATAACCGCTCAGTGGTTAAAAACAGAGCATTTCTCTCGCACGCCCAACGAGGTTAATGTGGCAACTTTTTCGGGTCCCATATTGCTCCAAGTGCATCTTAACGTTAGAAGTTTTAGCTTAGTAAGCCTCCAATTGGAGGCAATGTTTTTTAAATGCGAAGCATTTCTTAGCGAACCTCGACGACTTTGATGGTATCTATCTGTCTATTTGTCTACCTAGGCACTTACGTTTGGGTGCTCTCGTGGTCTCCCACTTAACTCGGTGTGAACCAAAATTAGCATCGGAGGGTAAGACGGTTTAATGAATATGACGTGCTTGTCAAGAAATGAGTAATGACACAATCCCGTTCCGTATATCGTCAAAAACAACCCGCAAGACAGTGGCACATACCCACAGTCGGGTATGTGCCGCTGTTATGTGGGTATGTGCCACAGGTGGTTGGCACTTAGTATCTACCCAGGAACGACAAGAACACACATGGACATTTCTAACGCGTGAGCGTTAAGAAATACCCGACATCGGTAGCGTCGACCCGATCAATGAGAAGAATAAATATTAGAATCCCAGCTGGAATCAAACACAAGCATTCTGCGTGGCAATGAAGCATTTTACCACAGAGCTACGCCATGTCTCAGAACTGCATTTGAAAGAGACGCTAATTTTCGTGAAACGTGATTGGTAGTTGGAGTGCTGCCTCCCAATTTTATAAACTGTACACGTATGTACTCTTTTGAAACAGCCGTGACGTCCGGTTAACGGAGCGTCTTCGCTGGCATCAGCGCTTCATAACAACTTCTGGTGTTGCTAACATGCATGTTCAAGTTGGCATCGTTGCTCAACTAGACATCTGGTTATATAAACATTGTCAACTCTTCAGCATATGTCTGTCTGTGCAACATTTGTACATATATTTTGCGTCACTTCATGACGTGTCGCTCAAAAAAAAATTGCGACGCGGTCAGCTTCCTTTCGCATGCTTCACATGCTTCGCATAACGTCGATACTAAAGAACGTGGTATCTGCCTAATATTTTTGAAGATTCAGTCAACCATAGTACTTTCTGTGGGTTATTTTGTCGCGAACAACTACATTTAAACATAGTGAATTGTAGCACTTGCTCCAACATATAAATCCGTTTGGATCTGTATGTGGACAATACCACTGAAGAGCATGTTTCTGACATCTTCTCAGGGTGAAAGTTGGCTTAACGTCTGCTGGCAAGACATAGCGGGACCTTCCACCAGAACTTTTTCTTTAAACCTCCGTGGTCACGCTAGCAGGTTCTGTTGATTACTTTTAGAGGCGAAGCTCCGTAAGCTGTGGGTCGTGCGTTCGCGATGTATGTAGCAGTATTGCGTCGTAGCAGTAGGTAGCCAGCTCCACAGCTGGACTAGAGAAGAAGCACGCGCGCACTCTTTCGAATAGAGGACAACTTGCGCACGTTAACCATAGGTAATAAGATAGAGTTTCGTGACAAAATAGCCTACAGAGACGAGCAATGATGACCTAATTTCCAAGGAAACTTCTCTTAATCTTTATGTCGACAAAACAATTGTCACAGAAGGATCAGTCTTGAACTCTATCTGACCAGAAAAGGTTGCCACGTTAAACTCGCCTTTTTTCTTAAGTGATTCCTAAAGGGAAAAGAAATGAAAAGTGAGCCCCGTAACTGCCTGCATCAGCTGAGGCACCTCAGCAGTAGCTCACAAGGAATTTATTGTGTAAGGAGGGATTGAAAGGATAGGATGAAAAGATATATATATATATATATATATATATATATATATATATATATAGAGAGAGAGAGAGGAGAGAGAGAGAGAGAGTGAAAGAGAGTGTGAGGCGCAGGGACAGTGAGCGACGGAAGTAAAGAGGAGATAGGAAAGATGGAAATGGTCGCAAGAGTCCGATAACAGGGCACTTCTCGACGAGAGCTCTAGTCGCATTAGGACACGACGTAGGGCGAGTGCAGTCGGCCAGAGCTACGCTGTGGTCGGGGATCAGCGTGAGGAGGTGGAGTAGGGTGAGCCCAGTCAGCCACAGCTGCGCTGACACCGGAGATCGCGAGGGCACTACCGGTTGGCATGTAATAGAGGGAACGAGTGCCAGCTCCACGGCTGGACTAGAAAAGAGGCGCGCACACTTTTTTGAATTGGGGACAACTTGCGCACGTTATACATAGATAAAGATATGGTGTTTTGTGGCAAAATATTTTACAGAGACGAGCATTGGTGACTTAATGTCCAAGAAAACTTGTCCCGAGTTTGATGTTGACAAAAAAAAACTAGTCACTGAAGGATGCATCTCGAGCACTATCTGACCAGAAAAGGTTGCCACGTCGAACACGCTGGGTGCAGCCTCCGAATTTTGGGCTGCAGTCCCATGAACTAGACACGAAGCGCAGGTCTTAAGAAAGCGCGTGCGTGCCGCTCCTCTAGTCTAGCTGTGCTACCTTTCGTTTAGTCCATGGAGTGTCCGCTGGATCGAACTACTTCTATACGATGAATATATGATGAAAAGGTGCGAGATGGTGGTACTTGGAATGTTCACTAGACGGACGGACGAACCAA